TTTTCCAGACATTGTCACTCATTTATCAGGAGTTCAGCAGGGACAGAGGAAGACTCTGGGAATGGGGGACAAATGTAGCAGAAGCCCCCCTGACAGGAGTTGACCTGGAGGTGAAGTCCCCCTCCACATCCCACCAAGAGACTCAGCACCGTCTCCCATAGACACAGGTACACATCACGTTCCCAAGGTCAGGCATGTGCCCACAWGCTGCTCYGGAGATCAGCTGACTATTGTATGACCTGCCAGGGTCACCACCCCAGAAAGGGCCACGTGACCTGGGTACACAAGTGCACACCATGCCTTGTCACACAGCACAGGGACATGGCTGGCACCAAACAGGGAACAGCCACACAAAGCACAGGGGATGACTGTAAGATTTCACACCACTGCCAGCCCCACCCCATCCTAACAGGGAGCCCAATATGTGGGAGTGATTCTGCCCCAGCCTCTGTGCCTGCTCCTCTCTCGGGCTACATGTCACCTCCTCTGGCCTTTCCTCGCTGTGTGATAACCCTGCACTCAACACTGTGCCTCTGCTTCACAGTCTACTTCTGTGCCCGCCACAGGGTAATTGCCTCACCTTAGACAATGACACCCAAGGGCAACTCCCCACCTCCTGTAACACTGCCCCCTGGAGGCCAGTACCTGCATTTCTAGACACAGGACCGTGAACATGAGTGCATGGGGATAGAGGCCCAGTGTCAGGCGCAGAATCTGCCAGGTACACCCCTGACTGCACCCCTCTCCCTGCAGCTGCCCACACACAGGCCCTGGGGAGGTACCCATGTCCTGCGCCCAGGCAGTCACCCCCCCTTTCCATCAGGATCTCTGGGTGGGGTCTTAGGCATCAGGATTTCCCAAACCACATCTGGTAATTCCCGGCTTGGGGAGCCTGTGAAGGAGGAGCATGCGCCATCAGTGCTATGGGGAGAGGTGAGGAGGGGGCAGAAACAGAGCATCTGCCCTGCGGGCCTCAGCGGTGTCCAGGGGGTCAGCCCCTAAGCCGGAGGCACCTAGCCGTGGGTCTCAGCCACACTGCACCTCAACAGTGTCCTGGGGGCTTTGGAAAGGACTGAGGTCTGAGCAGCCCCAGAGACCTGCTTGGCCTTGGGGAGAACCTTGGGCTACAGGGACCTGGCAGCTCCCAGCCGAGGTGGGGCCCACTGCTGAACTTCACCTGGGCTCCGCCCAACCGGCCAGCCTCCCTCCTGCTCTGCCCGCCTCACTTTCTTCCTCCCAGCACACCTCAAGGGGCTCCTGTTTCAGACCTTTCACCTCCCACTGCTGTTCGGCCTTCATGGGGCCAGGACCAGGCTGAGGCAAGCGGCCATCTTTCCTGGCCCTCAAGTCCAGGGGCACCCAGACACTCTGCCTTCAGATAAATGGTGTTGTCATGCTCTAGTTTAGAAATCAAATCGAGAGCCCCACACGCCAGGACACACCTGTCACAGCGTTTTAAAGGCTCACTTGCACGGGCTTCAGCTGGGAGACTTCTGCTTCTGTGTGGCCTTGACGCTTTGCCTTTATAGATTTCTGCACTAGTATTGTCTTTCTAGCTACTGCATTGACCTGCCAGGAAGCCAGAGCTTGGGGAACCTTGTATTTGGAGCTGCTGGGAGGGCCTCCTGCCCTGGCCCAGTTCTCACCCAGCTGTAGGCGCCTCCATTGAGGCGGAGGGGGCAAGTGCAGCGGACAGGCAGAAGGAGCCGGGATGTCCGCAGTCAGGGTTGTACAGGGGGCTGCAGAGAGTACAGAGAGAGGCAGGTGACAGATGGGGAGGTCACAGGCCCAGCCATGTCAGGGCCTTGCAGACTGGGAAAGGAATCTGGGTCTCATCCAAGGCCCAGGAATGGTTGAAGCCAACATCAAAGAGCCCTGACTTGTATTTTTAATGTCCCTGGGGTGTGGGGAGAGGACTGGACTAGGGTGAGAAGTGGAGCAGGGAGACCAGTGGCCAGGAAAGGAGCAAGTGGAGCTGGGTGTGGACCACAGTGTCCTGCAGAGCTGAGCCAACGCGTGGGTTGGGGCCATCATGAGACGGACAGCAGGGGCAGGCAACTCTGAAGGGGAAGGAAGGCAGGATGCACCTCCAGGGTCCTGACCTCCCCACTGGGACGTCACTGCCCCCACCCGTCCAGGGACTATTGCATCATAGACACATGGGCCCTGGAAGCAGAGTCCCCATCCATTGAGCTGAGCCCCAGGCCCTCCATCTCCAGCCTCTGACTCCGGAGACTCACTCCCCGGAGGCTCTCCCAGAAGCCTCTCTGCGAGCAGCCAGACCCCCCCCACCTCCCTCCCCTGGGAAGCTGCTTACCCAGGCTGCCAAATATGGTGCCCCCTCCGTGGTAGAAGAGGATGCCGCGCCGGAGGCTGCAGGACGTGGCCTTGGGCCGGAACAGCCTCACGGGGATTGTCCCAAAATGCAGGTCCGTTACCACCACTTCACGGTTGTTCTTTATGGACAGTCTGTCATGCAGGAAGCGGACAAACCTGGGCATGGAGCAAATCCTCAGCTTCTCGAGTATGTTCCCCTGTCAGATGTAAGAGAGGGAAATCAGGTGGATGGAGGTTCAGCTCGGTTTGGCAGGTGCACCCACCACCCGCCACTGCTAAGGGGTCTTACCCCTCCTCACCCGCCTTCTGCATGGATGGTAGGTTCATCGGGGTGCAATGGGCTCCGGGTGTCCTGGACTGGGGGTTGGATTTTCAGACTTTTCCTCCCACCAGGTCTTTATTGAATAAAGATGGTGCTGTGATCTGAATATTTATCCCCCTCCAAATTACAGTGACATTGTAGTCAGCATTAAGAGGCAGTGCCTCTGGGAGGTGATTTAGTGCCCTCCTGAATGGACAAAGTCTGTTATGGAGGAAGTAGGAAGTAGGAGTGGACTTTGATAAAAGGACGGGTCCCCCCCCACTTTCCGCCATCTTGCAAATGTGTGCACACCGGCCTTTCCACCGAGGGATGACGTGACAGAAAGGTCCACTGCTGCTGTCACACTCTTGGGCCTCCCCAACCTCCAGAACTGGGAGCTCAATAACCCTCTCTTGTTTATAAATGACCCAGTGTTTGGGGTTTGGATCTAAAATGCTCCAGAAAGGTCATGTGGTGGAGATTTTGTTACCAACAGGAGAGCTACTGGGAAGTGGGGAATTAGGAGGCGGGGCTGGTTGAGGAAGCAGGTCAAAGGAGACAGGCCTTGAAGGCTTTGACTCATCCCCAGGCCCTTCTTTCTCTCTGCCTCCTGTCCTCCGTGAGGTGAGCCACATGCTCCCCACCCTGAGGTTCTACCTCATCATGGGCCCAAGACCCACAAAGCCAGGTGACTGTGGAGTGAAACCTCTGAAATGGTGGGACAAAATAAACATTTCCTCCCTTAAGAGGATTTTTCTCAGGTGTTTTGTAACAGATGGAAAGGTGACTACCAGAAAATTGGTACTGGGGTTGTGACTCTACACGATGATGTGGTTCAGAAGCATTCGGAATTGGTTTGCAAGAGGAGTTTGAAGTACTTGGGTACTTGGAGTAAGAGGCTAGAGAAAACTTAGAACACTGCAAGCAGAGCAGAATGGACCATTCTGGTAGGAGCTCAGAAGACCAGAATGTTGATAGGAATGTGCAAAAGACTGTGCTCGTGAGGTTTCAGAGAGAAATAAGGACTCTATTGAACATGGACCAGAAGACATTGTTTTGCATTCTGGCAAAGAATTTGCCTCCATTTGGTCCTTTCCCTGAGAATTTGTAGGAAGCTGAGTTTCAAGGTATTGGACTAATTAATATGGTGAAGGAAATTTCAAAGAAGTGCAGGACTCAAGTTGTGGTGTGGGTATTGCTGGCTGATCTTAACCAAATTTAAGTGTGAATCACCAAAAAAAAAAAAAAAGTAGCCAGAAATATTTTTAAAACTTTCAGTTGACCAGAAAAGGAGACTATTTCAAATTGGGACAAAAGAAGGTGTGGTTGCTAGAGAGATCGGCACCATTAAAAAGAAGTCAACTACTTTGCACCATGACATTGGGGAAAGATGCCTTGAGGGTATCTTGGGAATTGACCAGATTCCCCACACACACACACCAACCCCACCAAAGGCTCCAGAGGACAAAATTGTGAAGTTGTTTGAAAGAATTTGCTTGGAGAAGAGTGCATGGGGCTGGGGGGGGGGTGCTTCTTGCTCACACAGGGTCTCCTAGAGAACTGGTTCCCTGGGATTCACGTCCCCGTGTCATTATCCCCTCAAGGACCCTGCAACTGCAGTCTAAGTGGGTCCTGCTTCTCAGACTGGCAGCAGACCTGGGTGTTGTCCACATGTTGCTAGTTTTGCAGGCACACAGAATGTAAGAAATGTGGAGGCCCCCACTGAGATCTCAAAGGAAGGCCAGGAGGCCAGGTATTGTGTAGCAGTCGGAGTCTCTGCAGATGCTGTGAGAGTGGAGCTGAGGCTGCAGTGGAGACCCTGAGAAGTTAGAAATGCCAGGAATGTGAAACCTGTGCGAGGAAAGCTGCAGGCAGTGACCAGAGCCAGCCTGGGAGCATGGCCTGCAGGCTGCACCCAGCAAGACAGAGCGCTGGGGCTTCCCCAGCCCTTTGGAGCTGACATCCCACCACCACGTGACCTGCATGCTGGACATGGAGCTGTATGATGTCATGTTTGCTTGCTGAGCTTTGATCTTGCCTTGATCCAATTTCTTCTTGCTCTTTTCCTATCCCCCTCTTTTGGCATGTTGCTGTGTACCCTGCTTTACGGAGGTATGATGGAAGTACCTAACTTTCTTTTTAATGATCCAGGGACTCACAGCTAGGAGTTGGCCTTGAGTCTCAGAGGAGACTTCAGACTTGGGCTTTTGAGCAATCTCCAACTTTCGAGACGTTATGGACTCTCAAGATGGACTAAAGGCACTTGGCATTCTGAAATGGACATGAGGCTTTAGGGGTAGGGGCAGAATGTTTTGGTTTGGATCTAAAGTGTCCCCTAAATACCGTATGCCAAAGGCCTGTCACCAACCTCTGGAGCTAAGGAAGGAAGTAGAAACTTTAGGATCTGAGGCTTATTGGAGGAGATAGTTCCCTGGGGCTTGTCTTTAGTGGGTGTACCTTGTCCTCAGCCCCTTCCCCTCTCTCTCTGCCCTTTGTCTAGCATGAGGCCAGCTGCTTTGTCACTGGGACCCAGAAACAATGAAGCCCAGTGTTTCAATGCTGGGGATTGAATCCAGGGGTGYTCTACCACTCAGCTGCATCTCCAAACCTATATACATAGATGATTTTTTTGAGATAGGCTCTAAGCTACCCAGGCTGACCTTGACTTGTCATCCTCCTGCTTCAGCCTCCCAAGTCACTGAGATTCTAGATGTGCGCCATGACACCCAGTGCCACGCTGACTTTCATATCCAAGTTCGGGGTCATGTTCTTGTGGAAGCCAACCTCCTTCCCCTCGTGGTGAAGATCTTTMCATCTTCTAAGGTCTGCTTCCTCTCGGAGACTCTCACCACCCTCCCAGATTTCTTTAGAAATCCCCTAAAGCTTTATTGCAGGGACACCATCACCCACGTGTCTCCCCACCACCCTGCTGAGCAAAGGACACATCTCATTCTCTCCTTGATCTCCAGCATCCAGAATAGTGAATGCCTGTTCAGGGAGTTTTGAACAATATCACGAGATGTTCAATGGCTCTGAGTCTCACCTTCTGAAGGGTCACCAGGTGGGCCATGAAGTCACATTTGTTTTTGTTTGGGAGATCTTTCCATTTTCTAAGGTCTTCTTCAATTTCTTTCTTGAGTGTTCTATAGTTTTCATTGTAGAGGTCTTTCACCTCTTTTGTTAAGTTGATTCCCAAGTTATTTTTTTTTTTTTTGAGGCTATTGTGAATGGGGTAGTTTTCCTAATTTCTCTTTCAGAGGATTCATCACTGATGCATAGAAATGCATTTGATTTATGGGTATTGCTTGTATATCCTGGCTCTTTGCTGAATTCAATAATTAATTCTAGAAGTTTTCTGGTGGAGTTTTTTTTTTTTGAATCCTCTCAGTATAGAATCATGTCATCAGCAAATAATGATAGTCTGAGTTCTTCTTTTCCTATCTGTATCCCTTTAATTTCTTTCATCTGTCTGATGGCTCTGGCTAGAGTTTCAAGGTCTCTGTTGAACAGAAGTGGTGAAAGAGGGCATTCTTGTCCTGTTCCGGTTTTAGAGGGAATGCTTCCAGTTTTTCACCATTTATTTTTTTTTAAGAGAGAGAGAGAGAGAGAGAGAGAGAGAGAGAGAGGTTTTTTAAAATATTTATTTATTTTTAGTTCTCGGCGGACACAACATCTTTGTTGGTATGTGGCGCTGAGGATCGAACCCGGGCCGCACGCATGCCAGGCGAGCGCGCTACCACTTGAGCCACATCCCCAGCCCCAGTTTTTCACCATTTAGAATGCTGTTGGCCTGGGGCTTAGCATAAATAGCTTTTAAAATGTTTTAAAATAAAAAAATAGGGCTGGGGAGGTGGCTCAATGGTTGAGTGTCCCTGAGTTCAATCCTCAGTACCAAAAACAAATGTTTTTTTTTTAATGGTAGTATCTTTTTTCCCTTTAAAATAAAACCAGTAGGGTTTGTTATACTATAGTTGATATCTTGTGTTTGTTTTTGCAGTGCTGGGGGTCGAACCCAGGGCTTCCTGCAGACTGGGCAAGCCCCCTACCACTGAGCTACAGCCCCCGCTCTTGATGGCTTTCAGGAGGGCTCAAGTCACCATGGCCACCTTTATAACAACTTCAGRAAAAGCTGGGCCTCCGGCAGGGCCCTGGCAACACACCTCGAAGGGCTGCTGGACAGAGCCCTGGCTGGGCTGTACGTGGTCATGGCTCTTCTCACTCACGCCCACGTCGCTCTTGGGAAGCTCCTCGCTTTGCAGAAGAGCAGAGCCTCCGAGCTCCCCCCGGGGCTCTGGGGCCAGAGGAGGCTCTGGGTTTCCAGCCACAGAATCTTTCCAGGTTTTTCCTTGTCGTCCCTCACTGCTTGCCCCTCCCTGTCCGCCCGTCTCCTGGAACCCTGGTACCTCAGAAGCCGTGACATCATCATGGGCATCCAGCCCCGAGGGGCCCAGGGATGGGGGCACAGGAGGGTGGGAATCGCCCTTCAGAGCCAGCCCTAGCCCACCTCTGAGTCTCCCGTGAGCAGCCTGCAGCAGCGTCCTCAGGAGTTCTTGGCTGGTGGACTCCGCTTTTTGTTGTGTCTKGGTTTGGGTACCAGGGATTGAACCCAGGAGCACTTCACACGAGCCACGTCCCCAGCCCCTTTTATTTTCTTATTTTGAGACAGGGGTCTTGCTAAGTTGCTTAGGGCCTCGCTAATTTGCTGAGGCTGGCTTTGAACTCTCSATCCTCCTGCCTCAGCCTCCTAAGCCACTGGACTAGTCTTGAAGAGAAACACTAAAGGGGGGAAAGATCCCAGTTTCTCTGGGCCACCTGCAAATCCAAGGCCCTTGTGTTCAGTTCTGGGGCCCCAAACTAGCCTGTGACTCCATATGGTGGTAGCCACAGGCCTGAGACAGCTCCACCTTCAGAGAAGCACCTACTCAGGGTGCACAAGAGACATCTGCTCCATCCTCAGCCTGTCTCCTTGGCATGTAGCATGTATGAAGTTAGAAATCAGACTTGTCCATCTCTCTAGAACAGGACCATGATAAAAAAAAAATGCCAACAACACAGGAACATATTTTTTACCAAACATCTCTACACCTATTAACCCTTACCCCATGTCAGCTAATGCTTTTTTACCAACATGATGAGACAGATACTCTTGTCCCCATTTCACAGATGAGGAAATTCAGACACAGAGAGGTGAAGCARATCATCCAAGACCACACAGCTAGAGAGGCAGAACATGAAAGCTTATCATCTCCTCACCTCCTCCTTCACAGTTGACCTCAGAGACAGTCACTGTGAACTGCCAGGGTTGGGACATTGGGATTAACTCAAGTCACTTGCCTCCTACRGGAGGATAGACTGTTCTTTCCACATCTGCTGTAACTGCAGGCAGGAACCGGTCCGCACGCCGCCCCCATAGCCTTGCTCAGAATCTGGCTGCTGTGCCCACTTGGGAACGCTGGGCCAATTCATTTATGGTCTGATCAACAAGCAGAACCTACCAGAGGCCGGGTTCCCTGCCTGGGGTCGGGCTGATGGAGCTGAACGGGGTTTCCCTGCCTGCCGGGTGCTCACATCTATGCAGGGAACACACCTGGGAGGCAGGTGAGTGCACAGGGGTGAGGACTCTAAGTCTGAAGGAGGGGTTGGGCCTTGGGCAGGGGCAGGATCTGAAATCACTTGCCCATCCTCAGAAAAGAGCCTGGTGGCTGGAACGTGGTATGGGTTTGATGCTGAAGGGAGAATGAGGGGGCTAGGAGGGTGGGAGAGTGGAGGGGAGGGAGGAGGGCTGGAGAGGGAAGGGGATGCACAGGGAGCCCCCTCCGAGATGGGGTGGGGGCACTCACCACAGCCATGGCGTACAGGAACATGCAGTGCAGAAACCTGACCTTGGCCCTGTGCTGCAGGACCCGGGGGACCTGGGCAGTGCGGAAGTGCTCCAGCACGGCCCGCACCAAGACGCCCAGGAAGAAGACGGGCAGCCCCGCCAGGAGCACCAGCCACAGGACAGCCATGGTCCCCGGGCCACCTGATGAGCCAGTGTGGGAACTGCGTAAGAGGACAGGGCCCAGTTATATGTGCTGCCACCTCCAGCCTGCTCCTCTGGGCTCTGCGTGACCCAGTGGCCTGACCTGGACCTTGGATGTCAGCACAAGCCAGGCGATGGCCACTGGAGGAACCGGCTCCCCAAGGTTCACRGGGACAGGAAGCCCGTCCTGCCCACCAGGGGGACTTGGGAGGTGGGACCAAGGGGATCTGAGGGAGGGTCTCCCGGGGGTCTCCCTCCAACTGTAAAGGGGACAGGGGACACGGCCCACGCTTCCCACCACAGTCCCGAGTCAGCGGCCCGAACACCTACTCAGTGCTCCTGCCCAGGCCCTGGGGCAGCAGCTGAGTGTCCCAGTGTCAAGAGGCCAGCCCTGGCCCCCCTCCCGTGGACGCTGCCCTCTCCCCTCCCAGAGCGCCCCAGGAGGAAACGCCGGGGAAGGGCTCAGAAGAGGCCCCGGAGCGCGGCCGAGCGTCGGCCGACCCCGTTTCCCACGTGGCTCCCACCACGACTTTCTCCCTGGGAGAAAAGCACTGGGCCAAAACTCGTCCCCAAAGTCACCCTGGGCACCTTATTCCCAGAGGGAGTCAGAGGCTGGAGGAGGCCYGTTCTGCTGGAGGGAGGGGCTCCCTCCCGCCTGCTCCTAGACCCAGGGGGTGCAAACTGCCTCCAGCAGCCTTCCAGGTGGGTCTGGCCGGAGGCTCTGGCTACAGAGGCTGCGAGCAGCAGGTCCAGCTCCACAGACGGAGCTCTGTAGGGCCCCGCACGCAGGTTCCAGAGAAGGTTCCATGGAAAGAATACAGATAGGTGATGCATAAATCTACCGTCACTGCCACTTTCACCTGGACGCCGGTGTTGGACTGAAGCATCTTCCTGCATAGTCCACAGTGCTCTCCCAGAATTGATTTTTTTTCTCTTGCTCTGCTGGGGATTGAGCCCAGGGTCTCCTGCAGGCTGAGCATACGCTCTACTCCTGAGCCACATCCCTAGCAATCTCTTGCAAAATTGAAACTCTACACCCATTGAAGTCCCCTTCCCTGCCCCCAGCCTGGGACAGCCACCGTTCTACTCAGAGTCTAACGGCTTTCGATACCGCCTGTACATGGAATCATGCTGTACTTTTCATTTTATAATCAGCATACACCACCAGGCATATTGTCCTAAAGCGTCACCAAGCTGTAGCATGAGACAAGATTTTTTTTTTCTTTTTAAAGGCTGAATAATGTTTCAGTGATGTATATATCACACTTTCTCTTTTCCCGTAGTGCTGGGGATGGACCCAGGGCCTGCCTGGGCTAGACAAAGGCTCCGTCACTGAGCTGTCTCCTGACCTCACTTTTTTTTTTTTAATCTGTTCATCCATCAAGGGATATTGAGGTCATTTCATCCTTTGGCTATTGTGAATAATGCTACATAAACGTGGGTGCAAAAATACCCTCTGGGTTTATTTTGTTTTTGTTTGTGGTGCTGGGGATTGAACCCAGGACCTTGTGCATGCAAGACAAGCAACTGAGCTATAGCCCCAGCCCTAATTTTTTTTAGGTTTTTATTTATGTATAATAAATAAATTGGTGTGTGCATGTGTTTACATAAACGTTCATAAATCATAAGTGTTCCGCTAAAGGAGTGTTGACAAAATGAACACGCTCAGGTGCCCAGCCCCCACATCAGGATATAGAACATCCCTGACACCCATCAGCCCCTCGTCCCCATTGTAAGTCCTCCAAAGGTAGATGCTTCTCTTCTGACAGCTGAGACTCATTTTGCTATTTTTTAAAATTTACACAAATGCCCAGCACAGTGGCCCACACCTGTAATCCCAGCAGTTTGGAAGCTGAGGCAGGAGGATCACGAGGTCAAAGCCAGCCTCGGCAACTTAGTGAGACCCTGTCTCAAAATATAATAGAAACAAGTCTGGGGATGTGGCTCATGGGTTAAGCGCCCCCGGGTTCAATCCCTGGTTCTAAAAAATAGTTTGTGATATAAATTGAAATCACGCAGAGAATGTTCTTTAATGCCTGGCTTCTTTCATTCGGGGCTATGTTCACTCGACTCTTCCGGGCTGGACATTGTGGGTTTACTTGTTCTTGTTGTGATGCACCACTCCACAGCAGGAATATACCAGAATTGTGTTTTGTTTTGTTTTGTTTGAGTCAGGGTCCCACTAAGTTGTGCTGTGATCCCAGGTTGCCCCTGAACTTGTGATCCTCCTGCGCCAGCCTCCCGAGAAGCTGGGACTACAGGCTGTGCCACCACGCCCGGCTGAGATTTGTATATTTATTTATTCAATGTCCAACTTAACAGAGACTTCAAAATGGCTATGGCAGATATGTTTAAAGCACTAGAGGAAATCATGCTTAAAGAAGTATGATGACAATATTTCATCAAATAGAGAATAATGATAAAGAAATAGAAATGATTTTTTTTTTTTTAAATAGAGACCAGAGCCAGGGATGGAGCTCAGTGGCGGAGCACTGGCCTGGCACGTGTGAGGCCCTGGGTTTGATCCCCAGCGCCAAGAAACAAAAAAAAAAACGTGTCCGACATTATACTCAACAGTGTGCGCTGTTTCCTATCCCTACTGTCTCCAATTTCCACAAACTAAGCAGCTTAGAGAATACAAACTTACTATCCGACAGTTCTGGGAGTGAGGKCCCCCAGTGGGTCTCACTGGGCCAAAGTCGAGGTGTCCACAGGGCTGGGCTCCTTCCAGGTGCTCCATTGTACACCCTGCTTCCTGCCTTTCCCAGCCCCCCCAGGTCTCCGTGATCCATGACTCGTGGCCCCTGTGATGGTCAACTTAATACGTCCACTCAAATGGACCATGAGGTGCCCCGACATTTGGTCCAACCTAATTCTGGGGGTTTCTGTGAGCCAACTATTCATTTTACTATCTGTATCTCTAGAGGCGTAGATACAGACCTATTCGTTCTGCAGAGAACTCGGATACAGCAGTGGACCTCCAAGTCCAAGGCCAGGTTCAGCCAATTCCACCCCAGGCTGCCTTTCCTCGGATTCTCCTTCTCCTTCCCTCTTCCACTCCCAAGGACCCTGCGGATCGCCTTGACCCAGCTGGCTGAGACAAGTCATCTCCCGGTTTTAAAGTCCCATGATCTGGATCTTTAATTTTTCTCAGCTAAGTAACAAAACATAATCGCACATCCCAGGAATTAGGGAATGAACGTCTACTGTGTGTTAAAAGGCTGAGTGTTTTCTCCTTAAGCTCAGGGACCGCCAGGCAAGGTGGTCCATGCAGGCCTGTAACCCCAGCCACTCCAGAGGCTGAGGCAGGAGAATGGCAAGGTCAAGGCCAGGCCCAGCCACTTAGGAGACCCTGTCTCAAAATGTAAAAAAACAGACTGGGGTGAATCTCAGTGGCAGAGCTCTCGCCAAGGGTTCAATCCCCAGAGATCCCAATAACACCCCAAAAGAAGCCAAGCCCATCCTCCACCCAACCCAGAGGCTGAGTTCTTTCCTGCCACGATTCCAGAACTCCCTACAAATGGGGTCCTACCATCGGTTTCCAGGTCAGGCTTCTACACAGAGTGACATTCTCAGTGTTAATCCCTGTTGTTCTATAGGTCACTAGTTGATTCCTTTCTCTATTCAGTTGCGTGACTATGTCCGTCTGTCTGTCCACTCTCCTAACCTTGCTTCAGCTGTTTCCTGTTTGGACTGTTGTGAACACATACATCTTGGATAAATACCCAGGAAAGGAACGGCTGGGTCATCAGGCAGGTGTGTTTGGTTTGCTGTTGTTGTTGTTTTGTTCTTTTGTTGTGGTGCTGGGGACCAAAGCCAGGGGACCTACCACTGAGCTCCGTCCCCAGCACTGTTTTACTTTTTATTTTGAGACACAGTCTCTCTCAGTTGCCTAGGCTGGCCTCAGGCTGGCGATCCTCCTGCCTCAGCCTCCCAAGTCAGTGGGATTGCAGCTGTGTACACCACCACACGCAGTTCAAATCATTTTTTGAAGCAGGAATAACACTGAATAAAAAAAAAAAAAAACTTTGTGGACATTATGACCCACAAAAAAAAACTACAGGCGTGTGTTAGTTACAAACCCTTTTTTTTTTTTCAAAAAAAATCTCAGATTGTTAGCAAATAGAAGCCAATAGCACGTTAACATAGTTACTCATCTGGACCAAGAGGGTTTATTTCAGGAATGCAAGGACTGCTCGATAGGGGTAACCTATCCACAGGATTCATCATACCAGAACCTCCAAAGAGGAACCCGAGGAGGGGGACTCAGCAGAACTCAGAGCTGACGCTTCCTAAGTGCCCTCCAGCAGGAGAAGCCAGTGGACATTCCCTTAGCATGGCTTTGCCAGAGCCAGGGAAGGAGTGGCTACTCGAGATATTCCCAGTAAAACGAGGACCAAGGTCAGGGTGACCACTGTCACCCTCACAATTTGATGTTGTATGCAATTTCCAAAGAATTTTAAAAATTAGAGGTACGAAAATTGAAATAAAGAGAGAATCAACACCTTGCAGATGATATGAACATATTTCTAGCCAGGTGTCGCGACAGGCACCTGTCATCCCAGACATTCGGACGGCTAAGGCAGGAGGATCGAAAGTTGGAGGCCAGCCTCAGCAACTTAGCCAGATCCTGTCTCAAAATCAAAACTAAATAAATAAGAAGTGTGGGGATGAAGATCCGTGATAAAGCACCCTGAATTCAATCCCTAGTACCAAAGCAAATAAGCAAATATAGATGGGTGATAGACAGATAACTATAATCAGCAGGAAAATCACAACTGAGGATAGTGTAATTTAGTAAGTAGCAGAGTACAGGAATGTTGTGCAGAAACTAGTAACATGGATATGTAAAGCGGCAGCTAGTTAGACCATTCAGCGCAAGAACAGTCCCTATTTGCAACGGCACAAAGGAAAAACTATGTGGGGATGAACTTCATTTTTCAAATGTGTGAAAAAAAAATCTACCCAAATGTGAGCGTGAAGGCA